TGATCTTTCTTATATATATATATATAATTTTGTGTAAAAATTTTTGTAGGAAATATTTACAAATTTTATGTAAAAATTTTTGTAGGAAATATTTACAAAGTAATTCGAAATTCTTTTTTATATAACCAGGTTTATCTTTTTGTATGGTTACAATTTCCTACGGACCATGTGAGGAATTGAAAGATTTAAACTCTCTCATTTTAGACCGGGAAGGAAAAGATATATCAGAGAAATCACTGAAAAGAAGGCAGAAATGTCTGTAAAACCCGTGACATTAGCCCTTGCAGTGATGCACGTACGTCCGTCTACCCCATTCCCGTATTCTTTTTTGTTTTTCCCTTCATTTGTTATCGGCTTCCTCGTTATCATTTATGGTAAAAAGCACAAATCTCCAAAATGGAGATGAAAAGGAGCTCTGGACATTATCAAAGTCAAATACCCTTGATGGGCTCTGTTTTTCTACAAGTGATTGACACTTAGCATCAATTTCTTTTTTCACTGTAATTATTTGGAGCTATTTCAAAAGATATCGAAATATTTATGATCGCACAGTAGGTGTTGTTGGCTCGTTTTTCAATGTTTTGAGCCTTAATTCTTGGCCCCTCACAAATACAAAAATAAATAAATAAATATCATCGTATATATTGAAACATTTACTATTTAGATTGGATGTAAGAAAATCATCATTTGACTCAAAAACTTGGACTGTGAGATAACAATTAAAAAGATTATAAAAAAATATAAAAGACAAACATGTATATTAAAAAAATAACAGAAGACTATTAGAACATCTCATCAAGTCATTATAATAGTATTACCTTGGTATATATGTTCTTGAAATTACATGAGAAGCATCACATGATGCCAGGATCATTTGCATCCTTAATGCTATTCTAGGAGAATGGATCATAAATCCTAATTTTATTCTCTAAGTTTTAGAGAAAGGATTATTTGAGTCAAGTTTGAATGTATTGCATCACTGAAATTAATTATTCAATACGGTAACAAATAGAATACAAATATTGGTGCTTATTGTAATTCATAATATATATATATATATGTGTGTGTGTGTGTGTGTGTGTGAGAACTTCTGTGATTAAGGTTAAGATAAAGAAAAAAGAAATACTCAATCCACTTCGTCGTCGTCTTCATCTTTACTTGTATATATATAGCCAGATATGAGATCAGTGACACATGCATCACAGTTATTATACCGGACCGGCCCGGCGGGTAGACCCGGTGGCGGGACCGGTCCGGGCAAGGTTAAAAACCGGCTAGAGCAAAAACGGTCAAACCCGGTCGACCCGGTGGGTCAGCCAGTGACCCGGGCGAGACCCGGCGTCTATATATATTAACTTTCCTTTGAGTCGCTGGCAGCAAAACGATGCCCTAATTTCCTAAGAAGAGCAGCCCGCCCCAAATTTACTTCTCTGTTATCTTTTGCAGAACAAATATTGGGTTGAGATTTCATCGGAGAAATTAGTGTTTACTTCTACAGGTGCTCTATTTTCCTTACGCTTCTTACTTTTTTATGTTTTTTTTTCTTTGTTGAGATTTCTTATTGCAAACAATTGCTGCAGATTTTGAATGATTCCCTCTTTTTTCCATGCTTTTTAAGCTCTTCTTCGGATTGGAACAAATAATTGAAAAAAGTACTCATTTGACAACCATCCTTTAGTCACCCATGAAGAGAAACATCTGAGATGATTTGCAAACATGAACTTTGTTGTTGTCGGTTTCATTCTTCATTTACATAACTGGTTTTTAATGAGATTACAAGCTGTTCAACTTTTTTAGTTACTCTGATAGCTACCACAGCTCCGGGCATACTGCATAATCCATCGGCTAACAGCATCAAACACAGTTCGAGCACATCCTCTTGCTCATGACCAAGAACTTTGCCTCTCATGTCATATTCACATTGAGCACTGACTGTGAAGGCATTTCCTCCATGTTGCCTGTATTATTAGTTTTTGATCTTCTTGTTGATTGTTAGTTTTTGATCTTCTTGTTGATTGATTAGCTTTGCAACAGTGAACATATGGAAAATGAATCGAGTGAGCTTTAGTTTTTTTTTCTTCTTATGTTTTATGATTTATTGCGATTTTTAAGGAATCTTTTGGATTTGTTGGAAGCTAGTACCATTTTATTTTTGTTCTACTGCTTAAATTTTAGTTACACAAGTATTTTCTTCTTCATTCGGCTGCTTATGCTAAAAATGGGTAGGAAAAGGCAAGCAATTCATCACTGGGTTATGCGGTATAGGGATGATGTAGCAGTTTGATTTCTTTATATTCAAGGAGAGGGGCTGACCCGGGTTGACCCACAAGACCCGTGACCCAGTCATTTTACCGGGTCAACTACCGGGTCGGGTTTTATAACTATGATGCACATAACATGAAAATCATCCCTGGATTTATGCTCAACATCCTAACTCAAATTTGCCTTTGCCATTATTACTCAAGTGTGAACACAAAGAAACCATCTTTTGGGCTCTTCTAAGTTGACCCGGCAACCCTAACAAAGGCCCAAATAAGTCTGTTCAGTGTTCACAAAGATATTTATAGCATCTTATCATTTCTTCAAACCTGGTTAAGAATTTAAGAGCCGACCCTCAAGGGTTTTATACTTTCTCTTCACAAAAAAGAAAATAATAAAATCTTCGTTTTCATTGGGATCTTCAATCAATCAAAGGTAAAGACTTGATCTTGTTTTCATTACCGTTGCTTATTTTTCTAGCTGTTTCCCGAGAAAATTTCAGGAAAACAGTAGAGGAATTACAAAATTTGACTGCTTCTTTGACGTTTATGATCTGGCTTCTTGCTTGTTTGTTATTTTTTGCTGTTTTTTGGCGGTTGGGTTTTGGTTTAGTTTAGTTAAGTTTTTTGCTATTATTTAAGATTTTGCTTTTCAGATGGCTATATCGGTCCTTTTCTGGTGCTTTTGTTAAGTTGCTTATAAGCTTATTAAGGAAATTTTGACAAGACATGTTTAAATAAGTTTGATAAAGTTAGGAACTTGGTGGAGATTTTGAATCTTAAGTCGAAGAAACTGAGGTTGTCACCTGGGGTTTTGAAATACTTGTAGTTTTAGCAGTTTATGAGGTTGTTTGGTGTGTGTAGCTGGTATATTAGATTAAAGAAGCATTGCAGTGATGTATATTGTTTAGTTCTCTGGATTTGGATTGTAAATTTTGTCTTTTTGATGGAATTATAGTCTGTCAAGTTAATATAAGGGAGAAAAGCAAATCTTGATATATATGTGTTTGCTTTGTGGATGCTAAATTGTCCGTGTTCTTATTCTTTGTGTTATACTTGCCAGATATGGCCGAAGAAGCAGGCATGTTTATGGTTCATCAAACAATTGGAAGTGTTTTGTGTTGCAAATGTGGTATTCCTATGCAACCAAATGCTGCTAATATGTGTGTTAAGTGTTTGCGCTCTGAAGTTGACATCACTGAAGGTCTAAAGAAGAATGTAATTCTTTTACATTGCCCAGAGTGTGATACCTACTTGGATCCACCTAGTACGCGGATTAGGGCCCAACTGGAATCGAGGGAGTTGATGGCATTTTGTCTGAAGAAGTTGAAATTGAAGTCCACAGGAGTTACTTTGGTAAATGCGGAATTTATTTGGACTGAACCACATTCCAAGAGGATCAAGCTCCGAGTGAGAGTTCAGAAGGAGGTCCTTCATGGTGCAATACTCGAACAAGCATATGTTATTGAGTATGTTCAGCAGGACCAAATGTGTGATTCTTGCACAAGAGTTCAGGCCAACCCTGATCAGTGGGTAGCTAGTGTCCAGCTCCGGCAACATGTTGCTCATAGAAGAACTTTCTTTTACTTGGAGCAGCTGATTTTGAAGCATGATGCTGCTGTCCGTGCTATTAAAATCAAGCAAATGGATCATGGTATTGATTTTTTCTTTGGAAATCGTAGCCATGGTGTTAAATTTGTTGAGTTTGTGGGTAAAGTAGCTCCAGTAAGGAGTCGCGATGACAAGCAACTTGTTTCCCATGATACTAAGAGCAACAACTATAATTACAAACATACTTTCTCTGTTGAAATCTCTCCAATTTGCCGTGAGGATTTAGTCTGCTTGCCTCCAAGGGTTGCTGTTAGCTTGGGGAATCTAGGTCCTCTTGTGATCTGCTCGAAAGTGACAAATAGCATTGCTTTGTTAGATCCTTTCACCCTGAGACACTGCTTCTTGGATGCTGACCAGTACTGGAGAACACCCTTTAAGTCTCTTCTCACTAGCAGGCAACTTGTAGAGTATATTGTATTTGATGTGGACTTTATTTCCCCTGAAGTTAATATTGGTGGGTCTAGATATGCTCTCGCTGATGCCACTGTTGCTCGCATGTCAGATTTTGGGAAGAATGATACCATGTTCAACATAAAAACGCACCTGGGGCATATTTTGAAACCTGGTGATTATGCTCTTGGTTATGATTTACACGGAGCTAACAGTAATGACATGGAGCTTGACAAGTACAAAAATCTAGTCATTCCAGAAGCAATTTTGGTAAAGAAAAGCTATGAAGAGAAGCGCCAGAGGAAACGAGGGAAGCCTCGTTCCTGGAAGCTAAAGTCCCTCAATATGGAGGTTGATGACACGAGAGCTAGAGGTGACCAAGAGAAGATGAACTCAGAGTATGAACAGTTCCTGAGAGATCTGGAAGAGAACCCGGAGTTGAGGTTCAATGTATCATTGTATCGTAACAAAGAATATCAGCCTTCTGAGATGGCATCTATGACTGATGGGGAAGATATACCTTCTATTCCTCTAGAGGAGTTGCTTGCTGATCTTGAGATAAATGACGCCGAAGATGAGGACGAAGGCATGAGGGAATGAATATTAAGTTTTGTTTATTTTTCTGGTTGGCTTGAAATCATCTTTTCATCAAGTAGCTTTATTCTGTGCTTGACATGTCTTTGCTTTCGCGTAATGTAGTTCTTTCAACAAATGATGCTTGTAATTTGTTGTGTTTGTTAATTAGGGAATTTTTTGCTGAATTGACGATGCTTATGCTGAAATGATAGCGGAAAGGAGAATTTTTGGCTGTGTTAACCTTTATTGTTTGAATTAGCCGATGATGCAAAACTGTTGCCTGATTTCTATTATTTTTAGTGGCAAATGGCTTAAACACATCTCGATAACCTGCTAAATAAAGAAACCAGCTACACACTTGACAGAATGATCACTGACCAGCATTTTTGAGAAAATATTGGTGTTGTACTATTTCAGAGCATGAATTGTTGACAAATATCGGAGGATTTCTTTCCAAAAATGCAATGGAACCATGCAAAACATCTCTTTTTACTTTCAACTGAGCTAGAACTCTCAAGATCAATCCAAAAAGGAAAGTCTCAGAAGAAATTCACTGAGAAATGTAAATGCATTTGGTAAAGCACAAAGGCTTCTTTTGCCAATAATCTGGAAAGAAGAAACAAGTAAACATACCTTTGCCACATTGAGTCTTTCACGATGGAACTGCGTTATTTTGCCCAGAGCAGAAACAGCAGCACCATTGACCATTACACATTCTCTGTCCAACGCCTTAGGATACCCTATCACCAAACTTTTAAACCAGGAACAGCCCCTGCCAAAAGAACTCAAGCATTGAAGGACAGCATAGGAAATAACTCATATAGCAGTAAGCAGAATAACAAAGCTACCTCGAATAAGAGGCTTGAATACCGACCCACCAAGCCACCATCTTCTGCAAATATATCAATTTCCTGTGGAACATTAATGAAGTGTGCCATCATGAGAGGCCTGAGTCAGAGATAATCCTCCTGAACTTAGGGGATCTCATCCTTGCAAGGTCTAAGCTGGTCTGGAAGACTATTCCTGAAGTACCATTCTGTTCAAGTTGAATAAAAAAACATTCAAGCAACATATTCAATAAACAAAAACATATTTTCCCTTGCATTGCGAAACTGATACTGTTTGCAACACACACTGGCTTGCAGCTCTTCTATTTACATTGCTAACTAAAATCAGTACAGTGCTCAATAAAAGAGTTTCATATTTCTAAGGATCTAGATGGCCTTGGGGTGAACTTTGCAGAGGGATTAGGAGAAAGCCTGTTACCCTTTTTCTTCGTTGGTGGTGCTGGTTGTGGACACAAACATGCTTGGAGAATCTGTGTTCCTTGTTGAGACTTTCTTTGGAGATTGGTGCTGAGCGTGATCTCTACTTCAAGGTTTGTATAAAAATATAAAATATACATGATTGCTTGGTCAAAGTGAAGTGAAGAATTTTTATTGTTTTGGTATCACTCAAGCAAATAAACAGGCATTAGGTTGGCATGGCCACGGTTTGCACACAATAGTATACAAATTGCTTTTTTCTCTGGCTGGACGCGTCATTGTGAATTCTATGAAGCTTTTCCACCAGTCTCATGGCTATATAGGCCTCCTTTTGCTGGATAGGGTTAACAAAAGTGGACAGCTGGGGAAGAGGCGTTGAGATATGTGTTTTATGATTAAGGCTGAGATTGTAAGAGAATTAGGGTGATTGGGAGGGAAAGGGTGGTGGTGGCTATTGGTCTGGGTGAATTGAGGAAGTGGGTTGATAAGAGGGTAGAGGATTTGTATCCGGTCGAGCTTGCAGAGAGGATGTCGTTGTTTGGGATTGGAGTGTGTGATCCAGAGAAAGTGTCTAGATTGTCTATGGAATCGAAGAATTCAGCTGAAAATTTTGGATTTCTCGGTCACAGTGGCACTTCGATGACAGTGGTTTGTGAAAAAACTATTCATCAACAAATCAGAATTTCTGCATTAATATGCTTTCTTAGTTTCTTACTGTCATTACAACATCTGCGGTGAATGCTTCCTTCTCTGGATGCAACAGCCTAAGAATGTTGCCTTTAGTATGAAAAACATGCTTGTTTGTTGCTGTCATTGCATATTAGCTTCAACGTTGCTGGAAAATCAGCCTGGATAACCTTGCTAGTTACCTTTCCATGTTAAAAAAAATTATCACCACCTTAGACTTAGATTTTAGTTTCTGCCTAGCCCTGTCTTAAAAAAAAATATGACAGATTAACTCTTTCATGCCCATAAATAAATGGCAAGAGCTTGAATTGAATCAACTGTAAAACTTTCTTTGAAATAGGATCTAGCAGTCCCCAGAATCAAGACAAGTCCATTACAAGAGCTTATAGCCCTATACATGAGAAGCGTCTTGGTTTTCTTTAGCATCGTTGATGCTCCAAAAGAACTGAATCACTGTGATAGGACAACTCTCTGTCAGGTCCCATTTCCTATTTTTTGTGTTAAAGGATGGACGAGTCAAAGCTTTTGCAAGTTCTCAATCTTAGAAACAATCTTTTGTTAGAAATACTTGATTGTTGGAGGCAGTGACAATATTTAGGCAACAACACTTTTACCAGTGACATTCCAAATTCGCTAGGAAACTACAGTTACCTTCAATCTATGAGCATTGAAAAGAACATCATTTCTGGTGGCATACCTTTGTCACTTGAAAATTGATCACAGTTACAAACCCTTGACTTTGCTGAAAATCAATTAGCTGGTATTGTTCCCTCATGGCTTGGAGAAAGGTTGTCTAATTTGAAGGTTATCATGCTATGGTCAAACAATCTTTATGCCTCCATCTCTGAAGAACTCTGTTATAGAACTTCTTTACAAGTTTTAGACCTTTCTCACAACAAACTGTTCGGAAGCATACCTGGATGTGTTTAAGAAATCCAGTGCCATGATGACCAATGAGTAATTCTTCTGAAGAACACATACAATCTGATTTATACTACACTAGCAAATATGAGGATGTATTGCTGGTGATGAAAGGGAAAATAAGCTATTATGGCACCACCATTCTGAAGCTGGTAAGAAGCATAGACCTTACCAGCGCCAGCATTCAACTTGGCTCTCTGGCTAGCACTGTTATATTCAGTTCTTTTTTTGGATTTATCAAGCACCTCTTTTTTTCTAGAATCATCGGACACCAACTATGTTCTCTTTGTATCTGCTTATTCACTTATTATGCAAGCATCACAGGTGTTAAACAAACTCCTTTTCACCTAAAGATATTATTGTTTAACTGCTGCATTCATTGCCTTTCAGTGCAACTAGATCTTGCTTGCATGTTAGGAAAGTTCTTCCTTCTTCTTTTCCTTGCTATGCGATTCAGAGTTCATCAATTTGTAATTGCCAAGAAAGCCCGGAGCGTCGCGCGGGCAATCCACCTAGTAGAAACAGAACCAATTTGATGGAAATCAGAGAGCCATCACTGTAGCATCCTCAGTTTCATCTCGTATGTCCTTCAACTAAGTTTTACCAATAGTCGCCATACAACAACGTAATTTAACGGATGAAAATTTTGATCATTATGCATTATTTAGACGAGAATAGATAAACTCACCCATATTGCTTAAATATTAGGTGAGGCCTCAAATATTATTATTCTATAATACACGCTGTTAATATTTGGTTGATAAAACTATAATATATTGATAAAAACCATTTTAATTCAAAAAATTAAACTATTACATGACACTTTAAAATATAATTCATAATATTTTCTCATTCCAACTAGAATAATAAAAAAATACGTGTGAGTGCTGATAAAAGTGGCCATACAACCAGCAGTCTGCATCAAGAAATAAACACAAGGCAACAAGCAAACCTCATTCCAAGGAACATATACAAACAATTAAATCTGAAATGAGTATAAAAGCAGCATGTCCAGTTAAAGATGACAGAAACTACAGACTTTGTCAGAAACATTTCTTCTTTCTGATTTTCCTCTTCTACTAATTCTTGCTTTCTTGCGTCAATGTCCACCATTTTGCTTCATGAACGAGATGGTCTGTTTATGAGAACCTTCATTATCTCTACCTAGAAGAAGTTGATTTGGTCTTCGCCTAGAGTTGGTCCTGACAACTGAAAGAGAAGAGATCATGGTTAAGAAAGCAGCCTTTGTTAATGCGAGCACCACTTGTCGACGATACTGTTCTTGGAAATTCCAGGCTCAAATGCTTGGAAAATTCTTTAATTGTATTTAGAGCTGCCAACAAATGCGAGGGTGGATATGTTCATTGACAACTTCTGTAAGTAATGCTGTCATATCATTCAAATCGTGTTTCCATGCCTGCAACACATATAAGCAACATTAGCCCAGGGATGATTGAAGGAAGCACTTTCTAAGAATTTACCCTGTTCCTCACCCAGGGCAGCTGCAATTCTAGCCAAGGTCTTCTTCCCATGAGCCGAAAATCTTGACAAGTCCTGATTCTTGTCATCTCTCTATGCAGTTTCACATTCTGGTTCATTTTTTATGACTTCGAGCATAAACAACATCTTTTCATTGAACTTCGTGATAAAATGTGGCAATTCGAGTAGAATTCTCGATCCTGGTATCTTTCTTCAGCTAAAATGACTACATATTCCAGTGCAAGAGCCTGGTTTTCCGCTACAGTTCAACTACATTATCAAAATGGGTACTTAGAGACAATGAATTATTCTTTGCCAACCAAATCAATTTGATTCCTTGACCACCACTTGTGCATATTGGTCTGAATAATGATAGACCGAAATGAAAAGGGTATTCACCATTTGATCCAAATGGGAAATGTACCTATAGTAATTCGATCGATTTTTCCAGTACAAGATAAAATTAGTTGAGTTATGAACTGCCTGAGCATATGCCTCCATGCTCATTTTAGAATCAAATATATTCAACAACCTATTATGGCATTGTGGCATCAACTTACAAAGCAAATGAAGTGCACACTTTAGTTTCCCTTCGGATCTAGAATTCAAAGATTCCTAAAGAAACTCAGTAGGCTCAGGCCATTCATTTCGATCAATTACTACTTTTTGACAAGCTTGGCTACAAAATCGTGAATTTTAGGCAAAAACCTTTCTGGCCTTGTGTATAAAGGCAATCAAGAATTGCAGGCAATCTAGAATTCAAAGATTCCTAAAGAAACTCAGTAGGCTCAGGCCATTCATTTCGATCAATTACTACTTTTTGACAAGCTTGGCTACAAAATCGTGAATTTTAGGCAAAAACCTTTCTGGCCTTGTGCATAAAGGCAATCAAGAATTGCAGGTTTCAGTTTTTTCATCCTCGAAGGAGGTTTCTTGCCAAAATCCATGCTGATCATCACTTAGAAGAAGAGTGAGGGTCTCAAATGTACTGTTTTTGGTGTCCATTTATTCAGGGATTAGATTAAAGCATTTGCGTTAATGAGGTGGTCAAATTACAAAGTCGTGGTACTTTAGCCCTTGGATGCTGGCAACTCTATGTCATGGGGCCCTCGAGCTTCTTTTCTGACATAGGCGCGGTGGGTGTTATAAGAGCAATGGACAAAGACACGTGTTTCTTTCTTTCTGGCAGATGTTCAATATCAGAATGAGTACCTCTTTTAGATTAGAAGTGATTGAATAAGCAATCTATTCCTTTGATTTATGCATTCCAGGAACTGTTAGGGCAAAAAGGGTGAATGCACATAAGAATAGTTCATATACATTCTGCAATGAGAAAACTTGCTGATTAGCACCAAGGTTTCGAAGTGGGACAGACAACATTGACGACTAGAAATAACAAATCTAGGATGATAATTTTGATTCCAACTTCCTTCGCAGATGGTTTTCCATGGATAACATGAAGGATCTCCAGGTAGAGGGGATTGACCTTCTCCTGTAAAGTTCCAATTGCTTGATCATTTGGCTTACAGTTTCCTCAGTTGCTAACTTCTTACCTGCCCACAGGATCTGAACAAAAAGAGAAGGGACTTACTCTATGATAAGTAGAATTCACAGAAATTTAAGCAATTTTCTGTTTTTAAACAAAGGATGGAACTATTGGACTGTACCTCGGCATAAACAGTAACAATCTTGTGAAGATTTTTCTTTTTGGGACCAAGAAGTTCCACATCTGACCTGAAATGAAATAAGAAAAATACTCCATCAGTGGAAAATATAACTGACTGTTTCTAGTTGTACTTCAAACATGTGATGAAAATTTTGACTTACACTTCAACTAGTGAACAAAGCTGATGATGCGCAACTTTGGCCTCGTTTAGATTATTTTCCAGCGGCAAATGTCTTAACCATGTCTTTAAAAACTGTTAAATAGAGAAACAAACTTCACAGAATGGCCATAATATGCTTTCCAAAGGACAAATTAATTCCTAGCTTTGCGTGTGCTACTGTTTTACTGATAACATGCTCTCCTGTTGAAGATCAGCGACACAACGTATAATGAAAGAGAAAGAAAGAACTAGGGTTTCACGAGTCTTAAGGTTATAGCCCTAGACCTAAACCATAGAGAAAACACTGTTTTAATATGTTCTGAAATTCAATAATCCCAACAACTCTTCTTGAAATAACTTACAAATGGTTTGAATAGATGCTAAACTAACCTAAACTAATTAAAACCTAATTAAATCAAAATTCTAAAACCTAACTAGGAAAAGAATATGAAAATAACTAGGAAATTAAAGCAAAATCCTGAACAACAACTTCTAGATCTAATTTGGACATTACAACAAGTTGACCCATTATACCGTATTTCTTCTAGTAAATCTGCTAATTGTTCGAATCCAATTTCTTACTAGTGAAGAATGGAATAGTTGGAATGAAACAGATCAAAATTATGTTCATTTTCATCAGAAGTTGGAATGAACCAGATCAAAATTATGTTCATTTTCATCAGAAAGCTCGCTTTACTTGTTCAGTCTTCTATACTTGTTCAGTCTTTCTTCTTGGACTTGAACTTGTCAATACGTGCATCGCTTCAATAAGTCCAAAAGGAAAGTCTAAAAGGGAGTAGAAGATGAAATGTGTACGCATTTGGTAAAACATAAAAGCTTCCTTTTCCATTGATCTGGGAATAGGAAAAAAGTATATATATACCTGTGCCGCATTGAGTTTTTCACGATGGAACTGCAAAAACTTTCCTAGAGCAGAAACAGCAGCATCATGGGCCATTACATATTCTATCTGCAACGCCTTAGGATGGTCTATAACCGCTTTCAAAGCATAAAAAGCCCCTGCCGAAGAGAAAAGTGATGTGATTTATTACAGTAACAGACTGCACTGGACTAACTCATGTAGCAGAAAGCAGTATAACAAGCAACCTTTAAGAAGAGACTTGAATGCAGACCCACCAAACTCAGCAAATATCCCAATTGCCTGGACAGCCACCTGAAACGACAGTATTTTGAATCAGAAATGCTCCACATGAATGCGTGCCAACATTACAGGCATGAGTGGGAGATAAACCTCTAGAACTTCGGGGTTCTTATCCTTGCATGCCTCAAACAGAAACAGAAGACAAATATTGTACTGCCTGTTTTATCAGATTGTATTAAGCACATTTAAATAACAAGCTGAATCAATAAAAACGAAGTGTTCTACCTGAATGCTTCTTCTGGGAATTGCTTCGCAACATCACAAAATATGCGCAAGCCAGTTCTTCGCTCTTTAGCTATTTTATCCTTTTCCTGAAGGCAAAGAAACAAGGGAAAATGAAAACAATTAGATCGGAATTGGAAAGTCATCAGGGTAGCCTAGAAGCAGCATTCATGCTACAGTTTTATGGATGAAACTGAGATCAGTTAGCATCACAGAATCTGAGCAGAAATGAATGGTTAAACTCACCCACATAAGTTGTATGCAAGGCAAAAGCTTGCCGAGGAATGGTGTGAAAGAAGACATCTGTATTCTGATGAAAGTGGCCAAACAATCAACGGCCTGCATCAAGAAATGAACATAAGGCAAGAAACAGAACTCATTTCAAGGAACCTGCACAGATAATTAAATTTGAAATAAGCGGCAAGGCATATTTAATTAAAGATGACAAAAACTACAGACTTTGTCATAAACTTTTTGTTCTTCTTGTAACGTCTGTTTTATTACATCAATGTCCCCTACTTTGCTTCTTGAATTCAAAACATTCATTATCTTCTTCAAGAACAAGTCAGTCTGGTCTTCATCTAGAACAGGTCCAGACATCTGAAAGATAAAGAGCACATTAGTACGCGAACAGCATTTTGCTATAACATAAGAATTCGATTAGCAGAATCATTATCCTTGGAAAGATATATAGAGGGAAAAAAAATATGATTAAAGTAGAAACATGCAATTTGAATTCTTCTGATGTAAGATCATAGACAGCTATACGCAGTACAGATTTATTAAAAGCAATACAGACCTTCATGCATTCCTCCAATGAGTCCAAAATTATTGCAGCAATTTCGGGCAAGGATTCCTACTCAGCAATAGCAATTACAAATTACAAATTTCTTAAATGGCAGCGAAGCTTAACAAAAAGTCATTTCTTTGATTAAAAAAAAATGTCATTTCCAGATAGAAATTACCTTACTTAGTGCTTTTACCAAAGCTGGTAACACATCAGAACATAACTTCTCGAAAAGTGATTCATCAGACAATTCAAGATTCCCTTTTTGTTTTGCTTCTTTAGATGATTTTAATAGCACTGGCATGGCTAGTGTGGAAGCACAAAAAAATTAAATTGTTACTGTCAGTGATGCAGGAGCATTCCTGATAAATAAAAAATTTACATTGAGAAATTAAGATGGGATAAATGGTGCTTAACAAGGTTTAGGACAGCTGAAAACTCTCATAACAAGCTCAGATTTTGAATTTAACTTCAAAGGAAAAACTGTATTAATTCTAAGCAAAACACTATGCAATGCATATATGACTAGAAAGCTACACGTATCTAGGTTCTGATGCTTCAAATGGTGCCTTCTTTGTCAAGGAACATTGATGTATAAATACCTGAAGCAGCAACTCTTCGAATCTCTTCGTTGAGTTGAAAGTTGAGAAATGGAACTAAAGTCTGAGCAACCTACACATATACAGCCTTTTACGTTTTGTTTGAAGAGATTCAAGAAAGGAAAATCATATGAAGTGCTACATAACTAACCTCTTCGATCCATACAGAAAGTCCTTCCTTCAACTCATCAGCAAGTAAATACAGCCCTTTACAAGCTGCTACTTTCTCCTCCAGGACCTTAGTCTTGATCCATATCTTTCGTTCTCCAAGAATCAGGGCCCTGATACTGTAAAAATCATATATCCCTCAGCAAAAGGAAAGGGCTAAAAATCATAATATCAGATCATTATTCGAAACACCAAATGTTGCTATCTTATTGTTAAAATAATTTCTTCTGAAAGCATAAAGCTAAAAGAAAAGATTTCTCTATTTCAGAGTAAGCTTATTCCATTGAAGCATTGTTTCTACAAGTATAAAAAATCAGGAATAAGAAAAGAAATTTACTTATAACATATGCATATTAGGAATGAAGAAAAATTTTCATCTTAAAAGCCAACCTTCCGTCTGATTCTTCAACATTGTCAGGATTCTCAGGTATAAGGACATATGATCCAATTTTAGCAGACCTGAGCAAACGAGGAATGGAGACACTCATATAAGGTTTGAATTCTCTTCCCAAGCATTTCCCCAGTCTGGCCCATGCCTGAAACATGGTTATTGATTTGTGTTAGATAAAAAGCAGGTATAAATGAAAGTACTGCGTTTATGTTTCAAATGAAATCGAAGAAGTAACATTAACATACTTGCAACAGCTGACATCTCATTGGATCATTTGCCTCTAATTCAGATCTTTGTAAAGAGATAAGCATTTTCACAACCTTGTATGAGATACCAAACAGTTAGTGAGGCAATGATCTCACAATTACAGAACATTTGGCCTTGCTGACCCCATCTGTTTGGGTTACAGGCTGACTTCAGGTGGTCTATTCTTAAAAACTTTATTGACAATTACCATATCAGTATCATCTCTGATCTTCTCCTTTCCTACAGCCATCCAAACCATAGTGATGCAATCCACGGAATTTGCAAGAAGGTTGTGATCATGTTCTTTTTTCGCAGTCATCATTATAACCTTAAGGTAAGGCATGACAGTACTGTAATACTCCGCAAACTGATCCTACAGTGTCAAAATAAAAGGATAAATGAAATGTAAGAAAAATAAAACTTCGATTAAGAAACTATCAAGAAGTACCTGTGATGAATAAGCAACTGCTGACAATACTTTTAAAGTTTCACCCTTGATCATGTGCTTTTCTTCCTGCATTAGTGCCAAAATGAATTATAAACAGGGGTGCATACAGTAGAATGAATTGTATTTAAGATAATATACCCTTAATTCTTCGAGCAATTTGGTGACAATTTCTTTTAGGTAAGGATTTAGAATACTTGGAGTGCAGTTCGATGTGAATTCAAACAATGCTGAATAAGCTTGCACCTGAGAGGATATAATAAGTAAAATATGAAGAATCAAGGACATAAAATCTATAGGCAAGATGGCAAAAGGATACTGATAATACAAGATTAAGCCAGGATTAACTACTTCAGGAATCGAAGTACCTGAACGCGGGGATAATTGAAATCATCCATGGCTTTAGTTAATGCAGGAAGAACTTGGTCGCGATACTGGTCTTGAAATTCAGGTTTCAAATTCTTGGAAAATTGTTTAATTGTATATAAAGCTGTCAAACGCACACAAGGGTGTATGTCTTCTTTGACACTTCTTATAATTCTTCCTGCCATTTGATCCCAACTGTGTTTCGACTCCTGCAAAATATAGAAACCTCAGGGATGATTTTGAAGTCCAATAAAGCCACAAGAATTAGAACCAATGACAAAACATTGGAATGGAAAAGGAGAAATAATCTGAGACCTTTAGACTTGAGCATCTCTCTGCAACAATGCCAAGGGAAAGAACCGCAGCGTGGCGGCTCTGCCAATCTTCAGCACAAAAATTAATTGCAAATAATCGGGGGAAATACCTCATAAGAACTTCCCCACCTAAGGCGGCTACAATTCTATCCAAGCACCTTACCGAATGCAGATTATGTGTATCACTCTCCGCAGTTCCCCATTCTGAGTCATCTTTCAAATTTGCTAGCAGAAGCAAAATCTTCTCAAGAAACTTTGGGATTGCGAGTTGCGATCCTAGCAACATCTGTCGACCCTGAACTCTTTCTTCAGCCAAAGCAATCACAAATTCTAGTGCAAGAATTCTTGTTTTGTCTTGGAGTTCGACTTCACCTAGGATCCTAAGCACAGATAGAACTACATAATCAAAGTGGCTACTCAAAGTCCATGGCTTCTCCTTTGTCAACACAGTCAATTCCTTAACTACCGCCTGTACATCTTTGTCTGATTTATGCTCAACCAGAGTGGAAATGGTCTCCACCATTTGAATCATAAGGACACTATACCTATCATGGTTCGATCGATTCGTCCAGTACAAGAGAAAACGATTTGAGGTCAGAACTGCCTCAACCTGTACCTCTAAACTCATATAATCAGAATCAAATATATCCACTAAACTATCATAAAAGGAATCGGGACTAACAACAAGATCTTCGACAGCACAATGCGGAATCAACTTATAAAGCAAAGAAACAGCATACTTCACTTTTTCTTCAGAATCAGAATCCAAAGATTCATAAACAAACTCAAGAAGCTCAGGCCAATCATTTCCAAGTCTTACTTCTTTAGTGGCAATCTTGGCGACAAAATCGCGAATCTTATTCAAATTCTTTATTGAACTCTCTGTATTCAAAAAATCAAGAATTGCAGATTTGATTTCTTTATCCAAGAAAGAGGTTTCTGGACAAGGTCCTTCCTTATCTTTTGTAAGAATCTGGCATAGAATATCAAAGGCATACTCCTTGCAGTTTCCAAATTCAGAGCCGCAAGTCTTATAGAAATAAACAAGGCAAAAACAGAAGGACGTAAGGTAATTGTTTTTAAGGTAATTCAAGAGGTTTTGGGCATACATTAAATCAGTGGAGGTTTCAGGGAAGTTAAGCTCTTCAATAAGACAAGTAAGAGGTAAGGTATCTGGTGATTCCAGGATTTCCATGGCTTTACTTCTGAGATAGTCCCTAGTTGAATTCAGGGATGACTGCGTCGGCTGTGAAAGTAATGGTGACCTCTGTGAGCCCAATGATGGTGGCCTTAGTCTTGATGTTGGTGGTGGTGACCAGTTTATGGCTGAATTTGGGTTTCCTTGGGTCGGACGGAGTTTGGCCCTCAAGAGCGAAGGCAGGGACATCGATGGCGGTGTAGCTGAATCCTGAGGTAGTGGCGATGAAGTAGTGGAGGCCATTCTTGAAAGATTCTTAAAAATGGAGAGTTTCTTGAAGAAGAGCTGATTTGAATCATTTGAAGGGAAGGACTGAAATTTTAAAAGGGCGGGCTTTCTGGTTTTAGTTAGTTGGTTGTTGAATCTAACGTAGTGTGATTTCAGGGACTAAATTGAAACATTTTCTTTAATGAGGTGGTCAAATTGGAAAAATTAGATTAATCACGGGGCTTTAAAGAGCACAATGACATTATTTTATAGATACCACCATAGAGATAATACCATATATACGTGATAAGAAGGTTACAAACAAAAAACATTATAGTGAATGAATCAATTATATTAATATATGAAAATAAATTCGACGTTCAGAAATACACAACCTAGCTACCTTATCATCCCAGTCCCTCTTAAAATCATTATTATTAAACTTGCCCTGTCCATAAATTTTTTTATTAACTGGATCAAGGTTCAGACCCGCTGGAGTTCACACCATGCAAGATGTTAGATTCGCAAACATAATTATACCATCTTTACAGAGATGGGTTAAAGAAAATAAACAGGTTTAACATCACTGATAGGGGAAAATGGCATTAGCCTTGAACTATTAGCAGACTTTGAGGCATTTTCACTAACACTGGCGGCTGCGCAGATCGTATTTCTTTTTATGGGAGTAGTTGTTGTTGAATGCTCTCCAATTTCTTCTGGAACTATGAAGTAGGGATCTCAATGATTAAATCAAGCTAATATATCAAGTTATTAAGTTGACGTTTATGGAAATCTCAATGAGTCGTCTTGCTAGTCAAGGAAGTTTGTTTCATTCTTAATTTCCTAGGTTCAAATCCTTTTCTTTTCAAGATTAACGTAGGTCTTCCGTTAATTTGCACGTGTCTCGATTAATTTTACGGGTTCTGAAATTAATAATTATATAACTTTTCGATAGTTTTGAGATTTGTAGGACTCGAACAGGTAATCTCTAAAAAGCAAAAGGTTAAATTTTGACATTACACTTGATAGTAAAAAATTTCTTAAACATAAAAATGATTATTCAGGTTATTAGAAACTTTTTGGTATTGTTATTACAATCGCTCAGCAAATTAACCTTGAAATTTACTGATCTGACTAAGCAGGCTTGGCAAAACCCTTGTATAGCTTCTTCGATTTCCGATAAAAATAAATATAACCAACAGTGGTTCGAATGTATATAGAAAGAATTTTTTATATATATATTTCTTATTATTAGATAGTATCCATAAATCACATGATAGGTACTTAAAGATCCAAAGTAACCTTCAAAACAGTTTTAAAATAGCTATTTTGTACTTTTGTGTTTGCATGGAGCTCTTCATTATATCTTCATGAAAGTCTGATTGTTATAAATAACGTATTAAAGCTACTTTGCCTGTTTGATCAAAATTAGTTATATCTTTCTAACTCATATTTTAAATTAAATTATATTAAAGTTATTTTTATGTGATTCAAATAATTTAATATATTTAAAAATAACTTAATAATCAGGTAAAAATATGGATTGACTACAAATAAAAAAAAATTCAAGAAAACATGTTAATAAGAGAAAGGAGGAATTATAATAGAATTTGTTTTTCAATAGAGTTTAAACTCTTCTGGGAATTGAAGTCCATCAACAGGTGTTCTAGATACAGGATCGAATCCAACAAGACCAGACTCCAAGAAAGCTTCATGAACAGAAACAACCAAGAGGTTGAGAACTCACTCTTATCACCTAATACACTCCTCAATATACGAGCAAAGAACCTCTCACAGGCCAGGATGTTTCTGAATCAATTGTTTTGAATACAAGGAGGTTGATCAATAATGGTGCTGTAGTTTCAGGGTCTTCGGCCGGGAGCAGGACATAGTTGTATCTGACTTTCGATCAGAATAGATTTCCCAAGTTTTGGATTTGTTGCAGACAAATTGTCTTGAGAACGACAGGATGAGCGAAGTTAACGAGTTTTGGAAAGCCTCGAAGGATCAGCATGTTATGCCATTGTCCATACAACTTTCCGAGAGGACTGGTGAGACTCTTCCACCTTGCTTTATGAGCCTGTCATCAGATTTAAAGCTCGAGATTTGGGATTTCTTCCTGCCACAGATGCCGTGACAGTGCATGCATAAATTCAAAGCAGCAGAGTTTGTGTTCGAGCAATGATATATGGAAGCAGAAGTATGTGGATGGGTTTGTATACGCCTCCGAATCCCAAAGCTTTGGAAATTGGAAGAACAGATTTGGCTGGGATTGGAAGATTAAGAAGAACAATTACGAGGAGACAAAATCTGAGTCCTGCCAGCAGGATTTCTTCGACCCCAGAGGCTCTTTCACTTCCTAATTCAGGCCTTCTCTTCTGACACTGAATACTTATTTCAAACAGAAGGAGATGATGTCCATAGCTCGAGCAAATGCAAATTTCTGGATGTCGAAGTTTTCTGCTAGATCTTAGAGTAGCATGAAGTCCACTTGAGAGTGAATCGATTTTGATGTTTATTTGTCATATGGTTGGGCTCCTGCATTCTCTCAATTGTCTGCATTCTCTCAATTGTAATTTTATCTTCTTCGATTGTTTATGTTCATAATTCAACTATCTTGGGGCTCGCCTCCTGCCTTTTTCATTGATTAAATTTTGTTTGCATGGATTTCAAACCGTAAAGCTTCAAGAAAAATTTTAAGTCTAAATTCAAAGAGGACATGGATGCAAAAAAGGTTTTTTTTTTTTCAAGAAATTGTTGAGACAAAATTGTGATGTGCACAGTTTTTTTATTATGATTTTTTTGCCAAAAGTATCTCTAGTTAAAACCACTACTTTGTTTATTTATTTCATTCTAGTATAAGAATATTTTTATTTATTTATAACATGCCTTGTGTAGTAAAAACTTATCATGAAAAGCAAGTTTAAATAAAAAAATAAAATATAAATAAATCTTGATAATTTTTACGTGAATGTATAAAAAAATAAAAGAATAATTAATTTAAATAAAAATGCATAAAAACTTCACAATTAAAAAAAATAGATATTTTACTCTAATTGAATATTCATGAGAATTTTTAATAGAAAATTATGTACATTCATATTTAATTATACATAAAGTAATTATTACCATTAAAAATATTTATTCTTATGGTGTCAGCACATGTTTTTTAAAATACTATTGTAAGTATTATATTTAGAAAAGGATTTTATTTTAAAATATTTTTAAAAAATAAAAATAGGGAAAGACCAACATAGTCAAGCCTAGACATGTATAAACTTGAAAGGACAACCTAGATGTGTTTCGCCATGGAAAGCTAAGACCTTCGTACATGTTTTAAAAAAACCACAAGCCAGCACCAATACAAATAAATTCTTTCAAGTTCTATTAATTTCAATCATGTTTTCATTTATACGAGCAAAAGAACCCGTATTCAGGGCTACTTAATACTGAAGGGAAACTACATGGATTTCAACTAAAGTCAACAAAAACATCTTACCTACAATGAGTTTACCAGGGAATGAGCCGAGACTATTGGCACTCTTACCTATACCAGTTCACCGTGTACAGAGAATAAAAACGAGAAATAAATGTACTCTCAAGGGTCTCTTTATTAGATATGATTGGTGAACAGAAGCAGAGCTGCCGCAAACTGGAACATATTCTAAAATCCAAGCAACACAAACAGTGAAGTCTCACATCTTACACACCCAACGTTTACAGGGAAATGCTATTTAATTCAAGGACATGTTACAGTGAAATAAACAGAATCTAAAAATTGCCTTATTGGATGTACTTCCGATGTTCCAGAAGCTAGACCATTTGCCAAACAAGGCCTTGCACGGCTTGAATGAAGAGGTACATAGAAGAGTGAATTTGCAATTTTATTAAAAAGATCAAAAATCCAGAAGTCACTTCTTTAGCAGCAGTGCACTGCATTGAGCCATTATTTTTGATGCCCTGGTAATAGAATCAGTCATATAGAAATTGTCTATAGCAGCTTCGAAAGGAGTTGAACTCATCTTCTTAGTGACATCAGGCTTCAATGAAGCCCAAAAGGTAGCTGGCTCTCTTTCTTCCACGCTCAGGAGGTTTGGTGCAACTGTCTTAATCCGGGATCGGATGGCCCCAACTGTATCGTAGGGCAACTGCACCCCCGCTACCTCAGAAAGAGCACGAATTATCTTCCAGTCATCCCTGGCATCACCAACTGTTGGAACTGCAGGCAAAGTCTGCTGCGTACACCCTTCTGTGTTTTCATACGTCCCTTCCTTCTCACTGAATGCTGATGCCGGTAGAATTACATTGGCACGATACACACCACGGTCCCCATGGTGCCCCTGATATACAACAAAGGCATCATTTGGAAGCTTTTCCAAATCCACATCATCAGCACCCATCAGATACACAAACTTGGCACTCTCAATACTTTGGCTTGATTCTGGCACAAGTCCAAGGTCAAGGGCTGCAGCTTGGGCAGCATTGAGAAGCAACACATTGAAACCATTCCAATCAGGTCGTACAACATTCCCATTTTTCGCTATGACTTCAACAGCAGAGAAAATTGCATCCTTGTCCGATCTCTCAAAGAGTCCAGCACCAACGATGATGGCTGGATTTTTGGCATTTGAAAGTGTCGAGCAGAAGGGGTGACGACCCTCTGCAATTTCAGTTAGAGTTTCAGGACCGGTGCCTAGATGCTCACAATCATAGTTGAAATCAGTGGGAGGGCCAACATAAGCAACCTTTGCATTACTTCCTCGAACTGTCTTGCGGATTCTGGCATTTACCATGGCAGCTTCTACCCTTGGCTGACAATTCATTAAATGAATTATGAGATTACATGACCAATAGTCCCAATCAATCCAAACATGTTGTAAACAAGATTACTTCAAAGTCATTGTGGCAATGAAAAAGTGTGAAGGAGTGTACAAATGCAAGGAACAAATTCAAGACATCATACCCGCAGAAGACAAGTTCATAGTCGTGAAGTCACATTCAATGATATAGTGGCTGTAATCCAAGAATTCAATTCTGCAAATGATTGAAAATGTCAATGAGATTACCTGGGTTCCAACCAAGAGGAAAACATCTGCATTCTCAAGACCACTAATGCCACTGTTCATAATATATCCAGATCGTAGATCAGCATTTGGACTAGGGCCATTTCCTTCACACCAGACATTATTTGATCCCATTTTGTTTAAGAAATCTTTCAGAGCCATCATGGATTCAGCATCAGATAGTTTACCAGCAATGCCCACCATTTCCTCTGGCTTAACTTGATGAGCAATCTCACCAACCACAGCTAAGACATCATGCCAGCTCACAGCCTTAAAGCGCCCATCTGCACCGCGAATCATAGGATCATTTAGCCTCTGCCTCTTTAAACCATCATAGCAAAACCGAGTTTTGTCAGATATCCATTCTTCATTTATATCCTGAAATATGCCAGTCCAGAATCATGAGCAGGCACCCTTGAAGTCTCGTACACCAAAAACACTAAAACCACCCATTGATTAAACTAAGTAAAATACACAAGCTAGATTGCCTCCAAAGTGATTCACTTGATAGAAATTAAAGCCATACAACCCCAAATCATTCTGTTGAATGAAACAAGTTAAATGGACCTGATAATCCTTCATGAACCGAAACAGCACATCTAACATAACAATAACTTATATTGTGTAACATTAAACCACAATAAACACAGCAGCCTACTTGTAGAACGCTACAATTAAGCCATTGATACATTTATTCCCTAGCAATAGAAAATATACAGGTAAATTGTTGTATATTATATAGTTTAACATTTATAGGCTCACAACACCCTTGTCAACATCAGCAGATGGATACAATGCAAAACCACTAGTAGACCTAATTGTCAAATATGAAAAAATAGCATTATTTCCTCTTCATGGAAAATTATGACCCTTTCAAAGCACGGGACAAATTTGCTTTCAGAAGGAAGCAATTTGATGCTTTGGTTAGACCAACCAATAAACTATCTGAAAAATAAAGAAAACAACACACCACAGTTCAGGGAATCTACCTCATTCAACCGTGGAGTGATGCGCATGACCTCTGGACCTCTGCTATCAATCCGGATGTTGGATCCAACTGCATCAGTGATATCAATGGTCTCTGTACCTTTCAACTCCCAATTTCGAGCTTTAAATGCAAAAGGTTTTGAGGTAAGGGCTCCCACAGGACAGATATCTATCACATTTCCAGATAGTTCACTTGTCATAAGTTTTTCAACATAAGTTCCAATTTCTTCTCCACTGCCACGACCTAACATGCCAAGATCCTGAACCCCGGCAATTTCTGTGGCAAACCTCACACACCTGTGGGTCAACAAAAGAATAAATTAGTTTGCATCAAAAGATAGTACAGTGTGCACAAAACTACAACCAAGATTTATAAGTGCTAACAGATAGAAAGAAAAGGTTGATGGAAAATTACACAGCAATCAACTGTAACTTTAACCATTGCCAATATTGCATCATTTGCAATTACATCAAAGACTCATTTTTACCACAATAACCCACAGCACACAACCTAACTTCATCACATCACAACACTAGAGTGAAAATAAATCAACAGATCTTTAACACCTAATCAACCAACATATCAAATGCTAAAATGAACTAACAAGTTAAGTACATGAATGATTATCCAAGACAAAATAAGTTGGTTAAAGCAAAATAGAGAAAACTTGCTGGCTTCCAATCAGTTAATCATAAAAAAGGGTAAATGATAGAAGTCTTTCCATGGCAGGCAGGACTATTTTAGGAATTATCCCATTCATCAATTTGGGACATCCAGCATAAACTGCTTCCAAATATAACTAGAAGAGGGAGAGGTGGCAAAAGCAAGAAAATACAAACTACAAGATATAAAAGGAGATGCATGCAGAAAACAGGACAATAACATGATATCATAAGATTGTACAGGAATAGTATTTCTGGATAAGTCAGAACAATCACAAAGATTAAACTAGCTTCCACTTCTTTAAGTGTAAGAATGAAGCTAGAGATCAAAAATCAAGCATGAAAACACAAAGTGGAGCCTAACCTAATTTGTGCCAAGTAATCTCTTATAACCTTGATCATAGTGACAAAGCCTGGGATTCAAACCCTAGCAAGGTCTTGGTGCATCATTCATCAAAACAGAATATATATATATATATATATATATATATATATCTATATATATATATATATATAGATATAATAACAAATGGGGGAAATAGAAAAGGATTCACAGACAAGATTTGATCACTCTTTGCGGCATGGAGAAGCAAATCTGAAAGAAACTGTCCTAAATAAAAAGGCTACACAGAAGTAATTGCATCGTGGTCCTAAAGTCAAATTGTTGCCATGCAGAATATGCATATAAATATTCTCACATTTAGCACTACTTGCCCAAAACAAACATTTAATAGTTTGAAATAATCATGTTCATATAATTGATGGAAAAATGATTTCAGAATCAAACCTTGTACACTGGATGCAACGAGTCATAACGGTCTTAACCAGAGGGCCAAGATTCTTATCAACAACTGATCGCTTCACTTCAGTGAACCGGCCGCGATCAGATCCAAATGCCATACTCTGATCTTGAAGATCACACTCTCCACCTTGATCACAAATTGGACAATCCAATGGGTGATTCATCAACAAAAATTCCATAACCCCTTCTCTTGCTTTCTTTGCCACAGGTGTGTCTGGCTTAATCTTCATTCCTACAATATAAACCATCTGATAAATAAAATATAATTAAGAAATAAAACAAGCACAAAGGAGGATACAAATTCTTAACTAAGCAATTCTGAAACCTCAACCATCAAATTAAGAACACTAAGCTGTCTAAGATACTAAGCAAAAATTATTAAAAAAAAAAAGGGAAAAGAAAAGGAAATGTGCAAGTTCATAAGAACTTGCATCATAAAATCAACGTTTCTTCAAAAAAAAAGGGAAAATCAAAGGAAACGTGCAAGTTCATAAGAACTTGCATCATAAAATCAACGTTTCTTATGACCATATAAGCAAATCAAAATGCATTTGCAAATACAATGCATATCATAAAATTAGGATAAATCATATGCACAAATGATAAAGTTTTTTGTTTAAAGTAGCAAATAAATCAGAAGCACGGACATTGAGAGCAAAAAAAGAAATCAAAAACAAGAAACATCAAATCTATCATAATTAAATCAAATCAAAATTTTCTGCTGGAGAAACTGCAAGAAACTAAAACCAACTACTCTGAGTCACAACTATAAAACAAGAAAAGAATCAGAGAGATCGTCTAAAATTTTATAAAGGTAAACCAAACAAAACTGAGCCAAAATAATAGACACCTTCAAGAACCTCTAGAGAAATAAGCAAATGAGGAAAACAATAACTTTAAGAACAACATCAAACTATAAAAATATAATGCATCGAGCCTTGAATAGGAGAAAACAAAAACCATTAAGAATAGAATGTTCAATATATTAAACAACTAAAGTATTTCAGAGTCTAGGCCCCCCAATGTCACACTTTGAGCATTGGAATGAGCCACAAAATTTCCGTTTCTAAAAAATAACACATTATATCATAAATTAAACCCCATTTTTTGTTGGTAAACAAAACCCACAACTAAATTGAAAATCCAAATAAGCCACAAGAACATCAATTGCTAATTAAACCCATCAAAATCACAGAAATCAGAATCGTAAATTACCATTTATATCTACCAATAGAGTAAATTAGAGAACTACCCAAATCACATAAAGCCAAAGCCTAGAACATTAATTATTAAAAAAAAATCAGTTTTTCAATCAATAATCAAACAAGTTAAATACTTTTTTACCAAATTAAACACCAGATAAATCTATTAAGAACTCAACCCCCGACGAAATCATAAAAACTCAAAACGCACGTTACAAAATGAATTAAAACAAAACCCCAGATGAACCACAAAAAATCCAAACTTCACTCAAAATCCACAGAAATTACACTAGTTTCCACCACATTCACCATCCAAATCAAAACCCAAATGACAAAAAACATAAGAACCTAAAAAAAGTCCAACATCCCATCTTCTACTTAAAATCAGAAAAATCACAGGACGAAACCAGAAGCCCCAAATTCCACGTGAACTATCAAAAACAGTCATAAATTATCTCTCATTTCAACTAATACAGTACATTAGAAAACTAATCACTTCTAAAAAAACCCAAATCACAAAAGGGCAAAATCCTAACCATAAATCTCCAATCTTTACACAACAATCAAAACAAATGACACTCATTTCCACCAAATTCACTATCCAAATCAAAAACCCAGATAAAAACAAACAAAAAACAAAATTAAAGCCCTAACCAGGAAGGGCAGGCATAGCGCAAGAAGCAACAGGCTTAGGACTCTTCTCCACCTCAACAAGACACATACGACAGTTCCCAGCAATCGACAACCGACTATGATAACAAAACCTCGGAATATCAACACCAGCAACTTCACAAGCTTGTAACACTGTCATCCCTTTCGGGATTTTCACTGGATACCCATCAACAAACACTTCGATTGCATCGTCCGGGTTCGGAAAGTGAACTCTGGCACCACCTAGTGGTGTTCGTGGTGGAAGATCAGGTTGTGGGGTGGTTGCGGGTTCGGCCGATTGAAGCTCCGGTTTAGTCACGATGCAGCGTAGAAGGAGGTTTCGGGCGGCGGTTTTTTGGGGTCTTATGAGCCTTGAAGCTAACAAGCCTAACCCCATTTTTGTGTTTGCGTTATTTTTTGGTGTCAAGGTTGGAGATCTCAGAAGGAGAAATGGTGGGGGGGAGGAGGAGGAGGAGGCGTGTGTTCGGTGTTTGCAATGGTTAATGAAGGGGTGTTTACGTGGCGGACTTTTTGACCGGCCCGATTTACTGTTGTTGGGCCAGTACCTGATGTTTTTATCAAGTGATCAAGACTACTGGTAGACACGTTCCTATATATTATTATTTCTTTAATCATTTAAGTTATTTCAATTTTTATAAAATATACGAATTTGTTTAATAATGTTATATGGAAAAGTGTCCTATTCTTACGGTTTTTCAAGATTTTGAATTATGGGCCCTTTTTTTTTTAATTCTTGTATTTATTGTTTTGTTTAGCAATAGTTTGATTTATTATTATTATTATTATTATTATTTCATGAAAGTATGCAGTTAGGTTTACACTTTGATGGAATTTGCTCACATTTCGTTATATTCAGATTGTGATGCCCAAAAAAGTAAACTTTGATGTCCATATTACATCATTGTTAATTAATCCAGTGGAAGATTAATAGAGGGAATCCAAGTACATGGTTCTTGCATCGAATAGCTTTACGTTTAGCTTCTTCCTAGAGTAATGTGATTTTTGAATTATTTCTCATCTTATTTTTAATTATTTTTATATATTTATATTAAAAAATAAAATATAAAAAAAATATTTTTAACTAAAAAATATTTTAAAAAAATAAACTAACTCACAAGAAAGATGGGAAAATAATTATTATAGGAGTTACCCTCCCACCATAGACTTGTATAAGTCTATGGTGTGTCGCCCAATAACTTTAGAAAAATATGATTTTTAAAATATTTTTTATTTTAAAATATATTAAAATAATAATTTTATTTTAAAAAAATATTTTTCCATTAACATATTAAAAAAACCTGATCATATTAAAAAACCATTTTCAAGCAAAAACAAAAATTCAAAACACAAACAAATTTGTAACTAAAGTGTAACACACACTAAAACACCGTTTGAAAATGTAATTGAATTTTTAAAATTTTGAATTTCTTTTTAAAATTCTTCAAATTAATATTTTTTTATTTTTTTACTATTTTTAATTATTTTAATATATTAATATAAAGAAAAATATTTTTTTAATATTTTTAATATATTTTTAAACAAAACACTTTAAAAAACATTATATACAACAATCTCAAAAAAATCTAAATCTAGTAAGTTAATCTAGAAAACTTAAGTTTCTAGTTAAAAAAAACAGAACTCAAGTTAACTCCAACGGTTCTATTTTAACAAAAACAATTGACTACTAATTCAAACTCTTTTTTAAGTCAATCCACAAGTAGATATGACAAATATGGTTTTATTAGTGAAATAGCAAAGGCCCAGACAGTTGATGTGTCATCATCTCCCAAGACTTCCAACTAGTAAAGTTCTTTGTTCCAATAGGAAGGAGGTTGTAGTTCAACTCTGTCATAATCAAAATTCAAATGCATAACCTGCTTGATTAATTGAACATAACTGGAAAACTATACACTACTAAAGAAAGTAGTCTTGAAATAACGACATGAGAACTGAGCCATTTGAGAAGCTCGACTTCAATGACAGTGTTCCATGTATGATAGAGGATGCAACTCAAATAATGTAGCATCCAGGTCGATGTTCAGAGAAAAAAACTGGTGATTTCAGTAATAGATTGTGATAGAATCGTTTGTTTTTAGATCTGATCCTACCATTTCTATGCAGTATATTCATAAAATTAACCGAAACTAAGATTATTGATCAATCCCGCTTCAAGGCCTTTGCCATACAGGCTCTTGTAAGCACAATTGCGAGGTAAGCCATGACTGTGATGGTAATACCTGCCAGCAAAACTAGACGATCAAAAGCTGCATCCTGCACAGTGTAGACCCGAAGCCTGATTGTGTCCCAGTTGCTCTCCGTCCAGACAGGATCCACCATTCCCATGGGATCAGAAGAATCTGAAGGCAACACATGCCAAGTTTCGGATTCATAGTTCAAGCGTGTTGAATACGCTGGTACGTACCTGTAATGATCAACACCCCTCTCAGAAACAAGCAATCGAAAAGGCAATTGTAATTATTAAAAACTGAATACGGAACCACATTGCAAGTCATTCTTATCCTATCATGTGAGCAGAAGAAAATAAAAAATATCAGCTCCAAAGAGGCATGCTGCTATCCTGTCTATGAAGGCAGTAAAGCATGCAGATGTAATACAGCATATCATGTGATGGCAGGGGAAACAAGAAATCCGCATGGTACCTCAAGTAAATTCCATGCAGGGTACAGTTCATTTTCCATAACATTTTGATCAACATATTCAGCTTCCACTCTTGTGCACAGTAACAGAACATGCAAATCTATTAGTCCTTACTGATCCTTTTGCAGTAAGGTAGGTTCATACTTTGTATGTGGATATGGTGGTAGAGCTAGCCATGGAAGGAAATTTCTAAGTATAGAGTTTGTTGGAGCAAGGCAATACCCCCTATGTGTGCAGAAAAAAGGCTAAGCATCCATTGCTGAGTGCCATCTTTAACCTAGTCTTATCAGCATGCTTATTTAATGTCTCCCCTTGATTACTACTCTGAACTAGCAGCTTCTAGCCAGTAAGTACCTGGTTGTAGAAATTGCACAGACTCCCTTCCCATCTACCTCTGCCTTAATGCACACACCACCTTTGTTGCTGCACTCTTTTGAACAATCAGAGCTTGCATCCTCCATCGAACTAGAAGTTCTATCAGCTAGAAAATTCCATATAAACCTGGAAACATCATCAACATATCCAAGATAGGGATTTGACGAAGGTTCCCCAAGGATAACTCCAACATAGTGGTTTGGGCATTGATTGGTTGGTACTATATAACTTTTCACCAACTCACAAGACAATCCTGGTTCACAGTCCAATAGGCAACTCATCAGTTCTTCAACTAGAGAGGCATTGACATTGATGGCATCAAGAGCTGTGCTGCTTAAATTTTTGTCATCACTTGCAAGGATATAAAGTGTGCGGGCAACAAGAGAAGCAGCTGCCACTATGGCTGAAGAATTTATATTTGCTGCATTCAAGATATAAAACAGTAAACCACCCATTTTTTTTTTAAGGTATCAATCAGATATGTGATTATATATAATTAGATATGAGATTATATATAATTCAGGATAAAAACCCGTTTGACATTATGGTAGCGGTTGCTTTTCAAGGTGTTTTTAACTTGAAAATACATCAAATAATTTTTTTTATTTTTTATAATTTATTCCTGACATCAACCCATCAAAACAATCTAAAAAATACTTAAAAAATAATTTAAAGAAAAAAAATAATTTTTTTTGCAAAAACCACTTTCCAACAGTAAAAACAAACAAGGCCTAAATCTTCTTCTTCTTTTTTTTTTTTTTTTTGGGGGGGGGGGGGGGGTGTGGGGGGGTTGTGAGGACACGAAAGTAAATCAACTCACAAATATCATCCAGGTGACTGTGGTAAAACTTATCAGAGAAAGAAGTATCAAAATCTTCCAATACCATCCCAGAAGTCGAAGGGTTCTGCAGAGAGAAAATCAAACCATAATAACACTCCATGCTTCAATGACATAAATTATTTCTTCTTAAGCTATCAAGCACATGTTGTTTTGTTCTTCTAGTGAAAATGCATGTTCTGTTCACCAAGGCAAAAGAGTGAGAGGATATAATCAATGTAAGCAACTGTTAAAGGCACCATTAAATCAGTTGGAAAATCTTTCATTGGAAAGATTTTCTGTGTTCGAGTTGTTTTTAAAACTCGATATTGCAGTGCATTCATTATGATAAACATGAATGAGTGCAAAGGCAAGAAAAGACACGGGCTGCAGGCTTGTATACTATTCCTCTTCCAAAGCCAACAAATTACATGGACTGGAAGATCTCAAAAAATACATACAATCCCAAATATGGAACATGCCCAACAAGAAACATCACTTAAATGAGCACAAGGTAAACCATGAAAGCAATTAAATACTCTAGCAAACTGTAAACAACAAAAGTCTCCATATAATTCTGTGCATAATCCATGCAAACAAGAAAAATAAATAAACAGATGATGATAATAGAAAATTAAAGATTTCACTTCATAAAACCTTTTTAAGAAATGCCATCAAGGATGATGGGGGTATCCCTGGATTTAAAGGGCTTGCTGATGAAACCGTAATGTTTTCAAGTGAATCTTGAGCATGTTTTAAGGCATTCAATGTTTCATTGGTGGCCAGTGAAACCTGAAATGATAAATACTAGATGAGCAATCTACACTCGCTGGCTATAATCAATTTGAGAAATCACACGAGAACACACATACACACAAGCTTCAAAGGAATTCATGTTCTGAAAATCACAATCAAGCATCTATGAAATCCTAGACAAGATAGAACAAGAAAAACATACTATTGTTGAATAAAAATATTTAACAAATATATCAATTTAAGAAAGAATAGTGCCATGTGGCATTAAAAGGCGGACACAAATATCAGCACCTGCAAATCACTGCCACTGGTTTGCAGGCCCCATAAAATCAATGGCCCTAAGATATTTGTGTTATGATTGTGCCCTCCTTTTTGAGCCAAAAGTCTTTTCCCTTTAAGAAAACAAACCAGCACATTACTTATTTCTTCTAATGATGTACTTGATAATGATGTAATATTACTGTTGAAGCTCTATCACTAAGATAAAATTGAAGTGATTTGAAGTTTGGCTCAGAGTTCTGAAGGGCAAATGCATAGAATGAGTGGAATCCAAGCAGAAAAGACAAGCGGCACCAAATTATGATTCCATCAGCATTCTCAAAGACAAAGCTGCAGTGGAACAAGCCACTTTAACCAAAAAAAGAAGAAGAAAAGAGATAATCAAACAAAACAGACTAATGTAATAAGACCTGCCGGTTTATAAGCTGGGTTCCACCAATATTATAATTCACAAGTTACACCTATATTATAGTTCACCTATAGAACAAAAAAGCAATTGCTTTTTAAAATTTTCATTTTCAATACTGATATGCATAGTATCTTCATTTCATGACTAAAAGAGAGGGGAGAGAGAGAGAGAGACAGAGAAATTCGTTTGGAATTCAAACAAAATATTAAAGAGCTCCAGAAATACAGGATAAAGAGTTCGCACCACAGCTGTGTGAGCAAAAAATGTGCTATTCCCTTGACTGAAGCCCTTTCCAACAGATCCGATTTCTATGACCTATTAGACATCAACAGTTAATGGTTCAATAAGGCATTGATTAAAATGCATGAAGTGCTGAATAAACATGAAAAAATAACTTCACATGAAACTGAAAAATCTGCAACCAAAATAACACAACACTACCCAAATGATCTTCTAACTACAATTGTTTTAATTTCTATCATTGCAGCGGACAAGTGTTTCTGGAACAATATAACAGAAGAGAACCAATAACCTGATAGATTCCTGATAGATAGCAAGTGTGCTTAAGATTGTATTAATGAAGATCACAAGAATACCGTTTCAATCAGACTACTATTGAGCCCATTAACAGCCTCTGATTGTAAATCTAGTTCAAACAAAAATCTCCTGCTACCAAGGTAACCCCATGCCTCCCCTGTGAAAACTGAAAAGACAAGCTGCACCATAATTATGATACTATCAGCATTCTTGGAGGCAAAGCAGCAGTAGAAGTAGCCACCAAAAACATATAAGAGATAATCAAACAAAATAGATAAATGCAATAAGAAGACCACCGGAATATAAAATAGGCTTCCAATAAAATTACAATTCATTAGTTCCTCCTATAATATAATTCACCAGTTGAATGCAAAAGCAATCGCTTCTTTATATTTTTCATTTTCAACGTCCACCGATACATGTTAGTATCTTCATCACAAATTGTGGTGTAGCAGCCATTGATCCTCTGCTACATGCACAGAAACCTTATTATATGCCCAAGGTTTAAGATTTCAGTAAGTTTATACCGCACTGAATCAACAAATCCAGTATAAACAAAACCATGATATTTCAGTGAATCGTATTTTGATGCCAGAAAAACATGAGAACAAAAACAACTGTAGTAAAATGAACACAATCAACTCCTCATTAAAGCCCTTGTACAAATCATCAGAAATTACATTCCACAGAAAGTACCAGTTTCAAACACACCTGTTTACCAAGGCCATCCAAGCCATTTACATGAGAAAGTGAATCAACAGCTGCCAGCAATGCTATCAGTCCCTGAACGTGTTCCCAAAATAATTATCCACTAATTTAGGATAGAAAAGGGATTATCAAGAAATAAATATTCCACAATGAAAGGGTGAGAACTAAAGAACTTGAACTTACAGAAATAGGGGATTCGGCACCTATATTTTTATCACGGAAAAATGAAGCAGAATCCATAGATGCGACAGTTAATATAATTGGCTTGGAGTGATTTGTGGATGAATTATTAATTGGAGGAAGGGACGACCAAACACTGCCCTTCATAAGAGGCACAATTAAGAATGCGGAACAATTATCAGTAAAATTGTTTTCCAAGCATAAAGGGATTGCCATTATAGCACTAATAATTCATGCAAATAAAGCTTAATAAAAAGTGGCGTTAGCCACAAGCAATATAATATATTGTTAATTTAGCAGTTAAGAATATAATATATTGTTAATTTAGCAGTTATGTTCACTTATTCATAGTATCATTAGCCGTAACTGTAGGACTGAGTCCCACTCTATCCGATACATAAATGAACATGTAGAAGTGAGAATTCCCAGTTCCTGGTAAAGCATGTCAACCATAATTAAGTGACCAATTTTAATGGAATTTTACCTTGAAATTTATTGTAGAAAAAGGATAAATTGTGGGACAAAGAACAGTGATAAAATCAACATCAATTATTAACAATAAAATAAAAGAGGGGGTTTTGCTGTACCCCTCCTCGCAAAGGGAATAGTGCTTTGCTCTCCTTTTTTTTCTTTGATTTTTTTTCCAATCAATTTTTTTTTTTAATTTCATTCTTAAATACTAGATTTTTTTTCTATTTAGTTATCACACTCTCATAAAACGGATCCTAGACTTGACGTGTTAACCTAGTTTGGCAGGTTAACCCCATTAACTTATATTTTTTTTTCTTATTTTTTTTTCAATTTCATCCTTTAATATTGATTTGATTGATAATTAAACTCCATAATTTGTTTTGTTTACTTTTCATTTGGTTATCCAGGTCTCATGATTCAAGAATAGTGCTTAATGGGTTAACCTGAGTTAACTTAAGTTGTTTTCTTTTATTTAATTAACTATAAACTAAAAGAGGAAGGGGTTTTATTGTACCCCTCCTCACAAAGAACTATTTATTAGAATAGTGCTTTGCTCTCCCTTTTTTTTCTTTATTATTTTTTTTGAATCAATGTTTTTTTTTTTAATTTTATCCTTTAATATTATTTTTTTTCTATTTAGTTATCACACTCTCATAAAACGGATCCTAGACTTGACGTGTTAACCTAGTTCCTTTAATATAATTTTTTTTTTCTATTTAGTTATCACACTCTCATAACACGAATTTTAGGTTTGATGGGTTAACCTAGTTAACTCAATTTTTTTTCTTTTTTTTTTTCAATTTCATCCTTTAATATAATTTTTTTTTTCTATTTAGTTATCACACTCTCATAACACGAATTTTAGGTTTGATGGGTTAACCTAGTTAACTCAATTTTTTTTCTTTTTTTTTTTTCAATTTCATCCTTTAATATTAATTTTTTTTCTATTTAGTTATCACACTCTCATAACATAGATTCTAGGTTTGACGGGTTAACTCAGTTCACTAAGTTTTTTTTCTTTTTTCTTTTTCAATTTCATCCTTTAATATAATTTTTTTTTTCTATTTAGTTATCACACTCTCATAACACGAATTTTAGGTTTGATGGGTTAACCTAGTTAACTCAAATTTTTTTCTTTTTTTTTTTCAATTTCATCCTTTAATATTAATTTTTTTTCTATTTAGTTATCACACTCTCATGACACGGATTTTAGGTTTGACGGGTTAACTCAGATTTTTTTTAATCTCATCCTTTAATATTGATTTGATTCATAATTAAATTTTGTAATTTGTTTTGTTTACTTTTCATTTGGTTATTCTAGTCTTATGATCTGAGAATAGTGTTTAATAGGTTAATCTGAGTTCACTCGGGTTGTTTTTTTTTGTTTTTTATTTAATTGATTTTTCTTTTAATTTTATCATTCAATATTAGATTGGTTAAGAATTGAGCTTGATAATCTGTTTTGAATTTTTTTAATGGATCAGTTAAGAATTGAACTTGATAATCTGTTTTGAATTTTTTTAATGAGAATATCTTCATCTCAAGATCAAAATCACAGGTTTTAGCATTTTAGCCCTTGTTAAATTAGGTCTTTTTCTTTTTTTCTTTCTAAGAAGTTATATCGGTCTCATAACCCGAGTCACAAGTCATTCAACATTAGAGTTGTTTTTTCTTGGGATGTCTCTATCTTATGACCCAGGTTATAGGTTTGACAGGTTAACCCAATCGACTCATTCTCTCTCTCTCTCTCTTTTATTGACTTTTTTTCAACTCATTCTCTCTCTCTCTTTTATTGACTTTTTTTCTTGAATTAGACTTGATGATTTGTTTTGGTTTGTTTTTTATTAGGTTATCTTGATCTTATAACCCAATAATAGTGCCTAACGGTTAACTTGGGCTAACTTGACTTATTTTTTATGTTATTTTTTAATTAAGATTTTTTAAAAAATTATCATTCAACATTAGATCCAGCATGGATAATTAATAATTAAGCTTTATAATTTGTTTTGACTTTCTTTCTATGAGATTATCCCAGTATCAAGACCAAAGTGGTAGATTTGATAGGTTAATTGGAGTTAAATCTTATCATTTTTTAATTTTTTTCTATAAAGTTATCTCAGTTTAATAACTCAAGTCATGGATTTAATGGATTGGCTTATGTTGTTTTCTATCTTTTTTTAATTGATTTCTTTTTTATTCTCATCCTTTAATATCAGGTTGGTTAAGAATTGAAATTTGTAATTTGTTTCAATTTGCTTTTCATAAGGTTATCTCAGTTTTATGATCCAGGTTGCAAGTTTGACATATTAACTCAAGTTGTTTTTAGGTCATTTTTTAATTAATTTTTATTTTCAACCTTCGATATTGGTTTGATTGAAAATTAAGTTTTATAATTTATTTTGATTTGCTTTATGTAAGGCTATCATAGTTTTATAACCCGAGTCACGAATTTGACACATTAACCCGAGTTTTTAAAGGTCAATCTAATATGTTGTTATTTTAATATTAAAAAAAGATATCATCTTGAAATTTTGTTTAGTCAAATATTATTTTCACGGGTTGTATTGTTTTTGGACCAATAAAGTCAACCAGGTTATATAAGGTAAAACCTCACATGATTTTTTTTTTGCTAATGGTTTTTTTTTTTTTTTGCTAGAAAAAAAAACACTAGCAACATTTGAATATTTTTTTATGTTCAAGAGTTTTTTTTTTTTTTTGCTAGAAAAAAAAACACTAGCAACATTTGAATATTTTTTTATGTTCAAGAAAAAGTTGACTTGACCCACAACGTAGCATGGGTCAATCATCTAGTCAATTGACTATTATCAAAATGACAATTTTATCTCTAAAGTTGAAAAACATAACCTAAAAGGATAAGAAACTACTGAATAGAAAACCAAATTGTTACTAAATAAGATATAAGATAACCTTCTTATTAAGATTGCTCTACTCTAATAGGAAATAATTTGATTCACTAATAACAAATAAAAACCACAAATAACAAAATAAAGCCAAAAAATCATATGGTGATAAAATGATCCTAGAAGTCTTGTTTGGTTCTCTATTAGAGTTCCAAACAAGATGAGCCTGAGATTACTAATTATTAGTTAAGTTACTATGTGCCTAGAATCTATCAATACCATGTGTTCTTCCTATCACTAAGAGTACTTATTGAATCTATCAATACCATGTGTTCTTCCTATCACTAAGAGTACTTATTGAATCTATCAATACCATGTGTTCTTCCTATCACTAAGAGTACTTATTGAATCTATCAATACCATGTGTTCTTCCTATCACTAAGAGTAATTACATTTTCTCTATCTCAAGTTCATCAAGGCAAACAGGCATGTGCTACATGAAGAAAAGTTACATGAACTTGCAAGCTTAAATTGATGCCAGAGATTACCACCATATGGTTTTACAAGTCAAAAACACCACCAAGATAAGAGAGCACAAATGGAAGATTACCTACCTGTATCCACCTAATGGAAAGCAAGTCTGTTCTTGTAAACAGGATTCTGAATCATGTGTACCAGATTTTGTTGTCTATTTAAAGACAAGTGAATTACAGAATCAGAAGTATTCACCTTATACAGTTAATTGATAAGGAAAGAGAATTTGTTGTACTGAAGGTGCAGAATCAAGTACCTGCATCACTGAATCAAACTCAACCACATCTGCGGTATAATCATTCCTTTTCTTCTCATTGTTCATGGCAACCTTCATGGATATGTGACATAATAAAATGCAAGTTAGACCAAAACTAAAATACCCCATGAAAAAACAATCAAAATATAATCCATAAAAAAACATACAAAACGTGTAATGTTACATGGGAACCGTTTGTAATTCGTTACACATATGCAAAAAATTGTTTTCACAATTCATAAAGTCCATAGCACTGCAACTGATGAGGTGCATGCCACAATCACTGCTTCAAATTGACTTATTTTTCTCAGTTGATAAAACTTGAACAGTTCGCTGACTGCTTAGTCAACCTCTGTTTTCAATGTTAAAGCACATGCTTGGTACATTCTCCTTATTGAAAGATTCTCAAATTCATACCCACAAATACTTCACTGAGGATCCACACATCAAAATTGCTAAAGTTCATCAAATTTTACAGACTAATGAACACCACCTACTAAATTATCAAATTTGTCAATACTCTATAGCAACCTACTAACATGGACCAACAAATCATTACAGGGATGTCTTGCCAGTAACTACATGTTTTACCTCCTGCACCAACTGTGCACCACCCTCAGTGAGTAAGAAAACAGGAAAATGGTAAGCTCTCCACATCATACCAGATCCCTGCACATGCAAAATGATGATGCATTAGCTAGTGAAGCAGCTGTGCAAAATAGAATGGGTCTAAATGTATTCATGAGTTTGATTTACTGTTTGATGACCATTAGATATAATTATCATATAGTTTCCACAGACCAACTACTTATAAGCTATAACTTTATGAAGCTTTGGTTGTAAGTTGTAACATATCATACAATTGGGTTCCATTCATAGTTGATGCTTTTGTAAGGTGCGAATTCAGCTCCTGGGAACTTTTGGTCTGGAGAAAATCCTGCAACAAAGCGAAACATTCACTGTTAGCATTTAGCAGCACATAACTGTAAGGTATTCCCACAATATCTAGATGAAAAAGGATGATAACTAGTAGAAGCCTACATTTACCTTTTAATTTGATTTGTGTGTCCATCCCTTGTTCAACTAAAACACCACCAATGTTCTTGGCAAAACTTGAATCATTTGATATTCTGAAGCAGAAACAGATATCTGACATTATATTATCAGATATATTATGCCTTCACTGAATAATAAACCCAGAAACATGGTCCAAAGCAACATGAATAAAATAATATTCCAGCAAAATATTGTTTGAAGAAATTTACAACTTGACTTAATTTCATAAACAACAGTAACATGCTGTATAACTAAAACCATCCTCCCACCTCCCCATCCCCTTCAAAAAAAAAAGTGTAAAAATTCAAAATGCTGGTTTTACACTTCATATGAAGGGCTAGAACCAATTTGAAGAAACTCTAGTAAATGAATAAATTTTATTGCTTCAAATACATATTTCCACATCGCTGCCCTTGCTTTGCCTGGAACCAACAAAGATTCTCTGCTTTCCTAGTCCCTAGTTAAATGACAGCATATCTCAACACCAGCATTAATTGATCCAACAAGCCAACCTTTTCCCAGACCAACCTCTAAACCTGGAGAAACATTAGTAGTCAGAATGCCACTAACCATTCTGTATGCATCAAAATAACCATTGTGCTCCTTTCCACGTTGCTTTTTTTTACCAGAACAAACAGCATAAGATCTATCCACTTATTGTCACAGTTTTTACATGTCATGAGCGGGGGGAAACCCTTCAATTAAGAATGCTTTAACAAGTATTAAAAAATTCCAAAGCTAAGCAA